CTTTGGTACTTACATATTTGCATCATAAAGTTCCATGGGAATGTGGAGCCATTAGTCATCTCACATCCACTGATGTGCTTGCTGAGGTTTGCTTGTATCACTGGCTTTTTTTATTGTGTGGAGTCTGTCTGATCTGACCGGGGAGAGGAAGGACGTGCAGAATAGCTGCTCACTGTGCCGAAACCTGTAGCAATTTGCTGTGGCGGATTCCCAGAAGTATAATAAGAGCTAACACTGCAGTGGACAATCTGTCTTGCAGATGTGGTGCTGATCAGGAATCCTTTCATTTTAGGAGGAGAATTTCAAATTTTATTAGAGGTTTTCATGTTTCTTATTAATGGATCTCTGCAGTTGGCCCTCCTGGGAATTCTGCCAGAGAGCTGTGAAATTGGTCGGATTGGACAATAAACTCCTATAGCTATTGTTGGCGTGCGCTGAGCTGCACATGGCAAGGCTAATGGAATCTGTAGCAGTTACAACAATGAATATGTAGCTGGCAGCGGGCAGGGTGTAGAGTGGGGGGGAAAGCTGGCATATAGATCTGAGAGCCAGAATGCAGCTGCAGAGCCCTCTGCAATGTGTCTGTCTTTTCATCTCTCTGAATCTGATCCTGCAAGATGCCAGCCTCCTTGGAGGGGAGGGGAGAGGTGGGACGGAGTCCCCTCCCATCTCACTGATTTCCAGCACTGCCGAAATTACTCACTCATCCTATCATGATAGGATGGGCGGGTGATTTGAGGCGGGAGCATCAGACTGCGCTGCTGCTTCTGCCCAGTAACACCCCAGACATAAAGAGCCTTGTGTCAGGCTCAATGCTTTGAATATTGCATTATCATCTACATGCCAGGCAGGGCAACGGTGTCTGACACGGGGAAGACCCAGTTTTGTAATTGCAAATGTAAATGTGAGAATTTACTGGTCATACCCGGAGCTGGAAGGTGAAAGTTGAAAAGTCATCATAATCTGTGTGTTACTAGGCTTTGGGATCAAAGGAGACTTTTGACAGGAAGTGACTGTTTTGAATTGAATATCCCTGAAGTTGGAGGCTGCCTGCTGTACCCCGTGGGTGCTTGCTCCTCTCAGTGAGGCAATGAAGCAAATGGCCTCAGCCCTTGCTCCTGGTGGTACATGTCAGTGTGAGCTTGCTGGCAGACACAGGACTTTCAAAATCTAATAATCCAGTATCCTCTCCCTGGTTTTAAATTTATTGAATTAAATTAATAGAAAAACACGTTTTGGGAAACATAGTGGGATTTAAAGTGACTTGCAGAGAGACGCTGGAGTTTTGCATGCTTGAAAATGCACATCCTGAGCTCCAGTGAGCAATCCCTCTGGGGCCAGAGCAAGCCCAGATGGTGACTCCTCCAAGTGATTATTTTTCTGCCTTAAGCCTTTCCAGGAATTTGAGTGTGGGCAGGCTGCCAGCGGACACTGGCTGTCCAGACACTTTAGCAATGTTCCATGTGTACTCGCTGCCAGAGATACCAAAGTCCAGCTGCTCTCCCTGATCTCTTTGTCCCCTTTACCTTCCCAGCCATAATTACACATGCCTGCATGCACGCACGCACTTGTGTGACACACACACAAGTAGAAAGCAGGAGCAAAAAATCACCTGGTATTTGCAGCTTGTTTGCATATCTCACAAATCGTGATTGACAGCTCTGAAGTTAAGGAGAAAGGAAATCTTGAGAGTTGGAAAAATGACTTGAATCCAAAAAAAAAAAAAAAGAGCATACAAATAACAAACCCTGCAGCACACCGCAGAAGGCAGCCGTTTGTCTTTCTAGGACAGCCAGCAAAAAAAACTGTTTAACCAGGTTTTGTACCTCTTGCCTTTGAGACAGTCATGTTTGGGTTGTCTCCCTTTCATTGCCTCCCAAACAAAATCAGTCCTGTCTTATCATTGTTGCTGGAACTTGAATTATGCTGAAAAGTAACCATTTTACTTTTAAGTCTTGAAGCAGAAATAGGCTGTTTTATGCTGCACATTTGCATTTTTTGCAGATCCAGTCCTGTGCCTGTTAAGAGTTCAAAGTCTTACTGTGAAGTGCTTGGGCTCGGAAAAGTGGGGCAGTATTCACTGCTCTATGGCTGTCTCATCCCTTGTCTATTAAGTTTGTTCATTCCTCCTGTGTTCTCCAGGAGATTTTGGTCAGCCCTTTTGTTACCAGTAATGATGAAGTCAGCTGTATGAAAGATTTACACGCACAAAAAAAAGCCCAAAACCCAAAAGATTGAGTATTTGGTATTTTTGAAGGATGTTAGCCTTGAAATTGGAGGCCACCCAAAACTGAGTGGTACAATGCTATTTAGCAGAACAAAACCTTTGCATCAGCTTCTGCAGAATGAAACTTCATTTCACAGAACTTCATAGTTACACTTTTGATGCAGAGAAGCTGAACCCAGATGCCTTGGACTTTTGGAATCACTCGTTTTGGAGAGCCTGGTTTATCCATAACAGCACTCTGTTCGGTCTCATGTACCAGCTCCTGATCTGTTACAGGCAGAGAAGCCAGTCGTCTGCTTCCAGCTTTTTCCCATGGGAGTGTATTTAAATTCTGGGTTTGCAGCTCGTGTCCATATCCAGGAGAGACTGGAGGATGGTCTGAGCCCAGCACAGCCTCCCTGTGGCAAAGGGAGCAGGATGAGCATCCCATGTTGAGGGTGTCCCCCCGCAGTGTCCCTGGGCAGCCACCTCGGCCAGGATCTGCTGACTTACCTTGCAAAGCCAACTGCCCCGGGCAGAAGGCTACAGTGAGCTAAAGTTAACCAAGGATGACTGCGCAAATGTGAGCTCGGCGATTTTATTTTTAGTCGAACTTAAAAAGAAAAATCTGTAAGTCATGTGTAATATAATAATTTTAGCTGTTGCCAAGACACGCTGAGCAACTGTTAGGAGGAGGGGGAAGACCCATGCTGATCTAGCAGGGACCCTGTCTCCTGGCTGCCCTTGTCCAGCCGCGGTTGCAGGGCTGAGGTGGTGGTGCTGACAGATCAGGGCAGGTCAGGATACCAGTGTCCTGTCAGCGCTCAGCAGCGACCGCTGCCCCGGGGCTGCTGTGCTCAAGGCCTCACTGGCCTTTGCTCATATGAAGCTGCTCCAAGTCCTTCCTTCCTCCCTGCGGCCTGAAAGCCAGGGAATCCACCCTGAAACAGTGCTTTACCTGCCTCCCCCTGGCTCTGGCTATTGGTGTTTCATTACTGTTTATCAATATTTAAAGAATGGAATAATTAACTTAAGACTGATTGTATCAAACCATTGGAAGGTTTGGACTTTCCTGCAGGCTTACAGCAGCTTGGAGGACCATAAACGTAAAGGATGCTCTTAAAAGATAGGTTTAATCTTAGTCTAGTGTGTCTTCAAAGTACTTCATACACATATAAACATCAGGCTTATTGTTCATTAGAAGCGAGGCAGCAGGGAAAGAAATTCCCCAAAGGAATATTACTTGCCGTAAGATAAGTATCATTACTGCTGCTCAGCATTCCCTTTAAAGTGGGCTATATCCTATTTCCATCTTCTTTCTCATCCACTGTTAATTCTTTCTCTCTCCATTTTCCTTACATGTATGCATGCTTTTCTTGTTAGGGCGCTGGTCATGTGAGCTGTGTGGTTTCTCAGCACCCATTCTTGCATAACTTTCAAAACAGCCAGAAATGCAGGTGATAGGCAGTGGCTGGACAGGGGCAGGGGAAAAGTTTCACTCTCCATGAAGCTTGTTATGGGACAAGGCAAGGTAAGTTTCAGGAGGACATGGGAAGACTGACAGCTCCTTTTGCTTTTTTCCAAAGCATGATGTGTTTTAGTTAGAGTGTTTTCCTTAGCAGATATTGAAAGAGTTAGGAAGACTTTGTTGACTTTTCTGCCTTTGAGGGAATTAAGTGATGGAGAGCAGAGAAAGCAGCTGTTTCACTCCAATAGCAAAATCAATACAAAGTGGTGGGGGCTCCTGGTTTGGATCAGGAAGCCCAAACATGGTTTTTCAAGCAGTTCTGGTGAGGCAACCCCAGGACTGAGTTTGCTTAGCGTTTGGACATATGGCCACGTCCGTGAATGTGGTACCTGCAGCCTCTCTGGTCTGGCAGTCACTAAGAAACAGGAGGGTTGGATCCTGCTGGAGATGGAGATGGCGCCAGCGCCTGGCTATGGCCAACCTGCATGTGGCAGGGAGCATCTCCCAGCACAGAGTCCTGACTGAATACCTGGATGTGAGGTGTCAATAGCAGCAGGAGTTCAAAGCACTGGGTGGAAAAAAAACCCCACCACACATCAAAAACCTGGCTCAGAGCCATCTCTGGCTCTGGGTTGCTGCTGTAAATAGATCGCGTGGCTGAGGTTCATTGCCAGACTGGTAGATGAAGGGCACGTGTGCCTGTAATGAGCTGTGGTGTGGGGGGGGACAGGAGGCAGCTGCTGCCCCCACAGCCCTGCGCAGTGTGACGTGTACTCGCCCTGTGGGTGACGCTGGGGTTCAGGGGTTTAGGAGTAACCCACTACCTTTTCTCTGCACCACTAATAGCTACTTGTTGCTAATGTAAATATTTTGTGCGCGCCTGTTCCTCGGGGCTCCCTGCCGTGCTCCCATGGTTTTTTAGGACACAGGAGGGTAAAGGCAACTCTGTTGTTGCAGGGGAAGGAGAAGCTGGAAGAACAAATCGGGAGCCATAGACACATGGAGGGTTTTCCCAGAGGAAGGAGAAGAGGCCTTGGGAAATAAATGACTGCTGCTAAATGTGGCAAGTTATGGCCAGAGAGTTTCTGATCTGCCTAGAGTTTTAAATGTTTTCCTAATGCATCAGCAGACATGGCCAGGATTTTTGCCGCTGTTTACAATGCAGTTGTCAACTGCTCCTCGACATGAGAGTGGCAGTGCCTGACCGTTTGATTTTTTTCATAGGTTTTTTCCTTGTTTGCTATTTTGGGTTGTCTGCTCCTTTGTTTTCATTTCTCAGTGCTGGTGATGTGACTCCCTCCTCCCTTGCCCACCCTCTCGTTGCAGAATCCAGAGGAGCTGTCGGAGGATCGCGCTCACAGGGAGATGATTCCTCATGAAGTCACTGGATCCCTTGCAGAAATCAAATGTGACTTTCCGTTTATCAGACTGAAATCAGAGCCAGCCAGACAGTGAAGCAAGCACAGTGGAGGGGGGACGGCGAAAGATGAAATCCAACCAAGAGCGGAGCAATGAATGCCTGCCACCTAAGAAGCGAGAAATCCCTGCCACCAGCCTGCCCTCGAATGCCAAACGAAAACCACCGTGCAGATAACCTAGCATGGCTCCCCAGCACACCTGGTGGCCAGGGCAGCCTGGGGGGCCGGCACCGGCCCGGGGGGACGTCATCGGTGGAGGCAGGTTTGCAGCAGGGTTTGCACAAGTCACTGTCTGCAGGGCTGGACTATTCCCCGCCGAGCGCGCCCAGGTCCGTTCCGGCCTCCACCACTCTTCCCACGGTGTACTCACCCGCCCTCTCCCAGTCAGGGACCCCCGTTTCCCCCGTGCAGTACACACACCTGCAACACACCTTCCAGTTCGTTGGGCCCCAGTACAGTGGATCGTACACCGGATTCATCCCCTCACAGCTGATTTCCCCAACAGCCAATTCTGCGACCGGCGCCGTGGCGGCGGCCACGGCCGTTGCGACCACTCCATCCCAGCGCTCCCAGCTGGAGGCATATTCCACTTTGCTGGCCAGCATGAGTGGCTTAAACCAGCAGGGGCACAAAGTTGAGCCGCACATGGTCAGGACGCCTGGACTGATTGCTGCCGGGTCTCCTCCACCCACCCAGCAGAACCAGTACGTCCACATTTCCAGCTCTTCCCAGAGCACTGTCAGAAATGTCTCTCCTCCAACCATCCCGGTCCCCCTGCACCCACATCAGACAGTGATCCCGCACACCCTCACCCTCGGCCCTTCCTCCCAAGTGGTGGTGCAGTACACTGACTCGGGGGGCCACTTCGTCACCAGGGATCCCCCCAAGAAACCCGAGAGCAGCCGGCTGCAGGCGATGCAAGCCAAGGAGGTACTGAACGGCGAGATAGAGAAGAGCAGGAGGTACGGCATCTCACCTTCTGCCGACATGGGTCTAGTCAAAGCAGGCAATAAACCAGCTCCCCATCATTATGAGACCAGGGTCCTGGTAGTCCGCTCGAGGCCGGCTTAGTACGGCGTGCGGGATTCCTCAGGTGTCCGAGCCTCCGTCATGGTGGTCCCCAACAGCAGCACGCCCACGGCAGACATGGAGGTGCAGCAGGCCACCAACCGTGAGGCCTCTCCTTCAACCCTCAATGACAAGGGAAGCTTGCACTTAGGAAAGCCAACCCACCGGTCCTACGCCTTGTCTCCGCAGCAGGCTCTGGGCCACGAGGGGGTGAAGGCGGTGGCCACGCTGTCCCCTCACACCGTCATTCAGACCACCCACAGCGCCTCCGAGCAACTCCCTGTCGGGCTGCCTGCCCCGGCCTT